GGCCCCGCGCCCCCCGCCCGGCCCCGCCGCCCCGGCCCCGCACTCACGGGAGTACTGGATGCCCTCGGCGCTCGCCAGCCAGCGCGTGTAGGGATTATCGCTATTATCATAGAAAGGGGGCTTCAAAGGCAGCGTCTGAACAGCGTCCAAGGGGGTTTGGCCCAACACCGCCGCTTTCTTGGGAGGCTCCGGCGCTTCGCTCTCCTCCTCGCCCCCTTCCGCGGCGGAGCCGTCCTCGTCGTTGGTGTCGGGGAGGTCCAGGATGTCCTTGACGGAAAAACCCGTCTTTGTGTTGGTCAGAGACATGGTCCGGGCGAATCGGGGCCGGAAAGTTGGAGGAGCAGCTCGCCGAGCTGTCACCCGGAGCGACAGCGGCGACAGCGCGAGGGGAGGGCGCGGGCGGCGGGGAAAAACGTGGAGAAAAAGGAGCGGAGCGCTTCGTGCCGAGGGACGAACGGAGCCCCGGCGGAGCCCCGGATCTCTGCGGGCTCCTTCTGCCCGGGGGGGACTCGGGGAGCGGGGCGGCAGCCGCTTCGGAAACAGTTTGTAACTCCAGGGGAAGGGGAACGGCGAGCCGAGAATTAAAAAGAAAACGGAGAAAAAAAGAAGGAAAAGAGATCACTTCTGGATGGGGCTGACACAGCCCGGAGCCGCGCTTGCCGCGTGAAAAAAACGAGCCATTGCCGGAGCGAACAGTCCATATAAGGCTGGTCCCCGCACATGAACCTGCCGAGAGGAGGGAGAAAAAAAAGACATGAAACCCGGGAAAGGTTGGCCACGTGTGGGCGGGTCTTGGAAGTCAAGTGGATGAAGACAGTGTTTGCAGATGTGAAATTGCGGGTTTTGGGCGAGCTCCGAGCTTCCACCATTGGTGATGAGTGGTATAACGTGTCAGTTAATTACCGGCGTGGGGAGGGCCCTTCGCGTGTGTGTGTGTGCGCCGGGGAGAGGCTCTGGGTGATTTTCTGGCTTGTTGTGTTTTGGTTTTGTTTTGGTCTTTTAAAAGCGATATTTATATACAAAGAGCACGACGTTCCTCACACTCCAAAGAGTGTTTTTTTTTGTTGTTGTTTTTTTGGTTTTTTTCCACGTGCAGGAAAAAAAAAGAATAATAATAAGAAGAAGAAGACAGAGGGGTGGGAAGGGCAAGGAGAGCCGCTCGCTGTGCAGCCCCACTCGCGGCGTCCCCACCCGCGACAGCGCGGCGGTGGCACGGAGCTCAGATGGCAGCAGCCCAACTTATCTAAACCGCCTGGGTCAATATTTTGGTAGAGGCTTAAGGATGAACGCTGGAAATTAATCAGCAAGTAATTGATTCTAGTTCGCTCCGAAATGAAGCGGAGTGGCAAAACGCGATCGGCAGTCACGACCCGGAGAGATGCGGGACGTGATTAGCGGGGGGGGGGGGGGGGGGGGGGGGGGGGGGGGGGGGGGGGGGGGGGGGGGGGGGAGGTTTTATTTGAAGAGGTCTCATTGATTTTGCCTCCGTCTTGCAGGGGAATGAGAACCAGCCCGCTCGGTTCATTTAACGGGCTGCAGCCCGGCGGACTCTCAGCGTGCCTGCCTTCATTTCATTTCTTTTTTTTTATCTTTAAAATGTCTTTTTCGGGAAGCGGGGAGGATCCCCCTCCCCAGCCCCCAGCAGCCTCCCACCGACTTTTCCTCCTCCGTCTCTCTCATCTCCATCCTCCCCCTCTCCCGCACACCGAAGGGCCCCGCTCGCCCGTGCGCGCACCGACCCGGGGGTTGCGCTCCGCACAGGGGCTGCGCACCGCCGCCTCCTTTTGCCCACCGCCTCCCTGATTCCAGGCTAAGAAAAGTTGCCCGAGTTCCCCTTCCCGCAGGAGGGAGCCGGCAGGAAGACGGTCCGTCCGACGCCCTCTCCTCGCCGATCGATTTATTCGCACCTTCCCCCCCAACCCGCTCCCCCAGCCCGCTCCCCCAGCCCCCAGCCTGCCTCCCATAAAGTATGTGATGTGGCTGACAATGCCTAGGGATTTTTTTTTTTTTTTTTAAGCGAGCCCCTGAGCACATCCTGGGTGGTCGGAGCCGCGCAAACACAAATACAACCCTATGGCTAAGCTGGAGACAATGTCCGCAATGTAGACAAATGTCCGGCTTCTGTTGGAACCCTTTGTCTCGGCGCAGTTTTTGCATTTATTTCAGTGGCGAAATAATACGTGATTGACGCCCTCTTTCAATGTGTCCTAACTGTTGGGAATAAATCTGAGGTTGTTCCTAGTTGTCATGGTATTCAACCGCGCTCAATGGCTATCTCTTCATCCATTTCGGAGTCCTTCCCCGATACGAAGGGAACCCCTTCGTGCAGGCTCCTCTCCCCTTCCTCTGCGGGGAGGGGCCTGGGCCGCTCGCATCCATCTCGATGCTTCGTGGTCGGCAAATCTCGGCCTTATCGATGGATGAGTTCCCCCCGACCCCCACCTGCCCGGCCTTGGGGCGCTCGGATAAGGCAGGATGAGGTCGGAATGGGGTTTTCATCCCTCCCCACAGCGCTGGGCGAGAGGGAAAAGGCTAGCAGCGAGAACGATGATGGCGAGAAAAAGTCCCAAAGTCTGGCTTATGCCGGTGGGAGCCAAGAAAGCAAGCAAAAAAAAAGAAAGAAAGCAAAAAAAAAGCAAAAAAAAAAAAAAAAGAGTAACGATAATACATATATAATTTGGAAAAAAGAATACACACACAGACAAAAAGAAAAGAAAAAGAAAACCCTGAAGCACTCGGTACCCAGGCTCCCAAAAGCGCTGATGGCCACGACTGGGAACGGAGGCGGTGTCCCGCAGCAGTGCGGGAGGTGCGGGGCACAGAGCGTGAGGGACCGTGGGGAGCTGCGGGCGTGACGTCACAGGCATGGTGACGTCAGAGCCCTCTGACGTCAGGGGAGGCCGCGGGGCCGGGAGCCGCCGCGTAAAACCCGACGGGAGGGACTGGCGGCTGGGTGCTCCAGGCCGGCCGTGCTGAATTTAAGCCGGAGGGGTTGTTTGCACAAGAGAACAAGAGGCTGAAGGAGAGGTGCGTGTACACAGGCTAAGTGGCCGCACTTCAGGACAAGTGCCCTCTAGCAGTGTTTACCTGTTTACTTTCGCAGGTAGCTCAAACAGCCGCACCCCCCCCATCCTTCCCCGAGCTGTGGGGAGCCCCGCAGCCGGCGGTGGGTTTTAGCAACGTTACCCGTCTCCTATTCCTAATACACCACTCAAACAAGTGAATGCGAAGGTGTTTCCAGGAGACTCTCCGCTATCTCCCTCCCCGCAGCTCGCTCTCTCGGCCCGACCTCCTTCTCACCCGGAGCCGCTAACAGCCGCCGAGTGGCTCTGCTCATTGTCTGATCGGACCAAAGGTGCGAGCTTATTGTTTTCCTTCGCTCCAGACCGCAAGGAAACAAATAAAAAGCACCGCACCTTGCCGCTCGGCGAGGATTAGCGAAGGCGCACAAAGCCTTTGTTAGGTGGACAGGTTGGCTTTATCCCTTGGAACGAGTCACACTTAAAATAAAGAGGACGAGGGAAACGCGGCTCCTGATAATTGTTATTAATTCACCTTCGGAGCCTCCCGGTAATCAATCCCAGCTTTGTGTTAGAGGGTGGCGAGGGACGGAAAGCTGAGTCATTAGGAGAGGACATCTTTTGTCAGGGATCAAAACAACAACAACATCCCCCGCCACTCCGAAATGTCCCCTGGCAGAGCTCTAAGGAGCCTTTCCCCCTTTGTGGCCGCTCCCGGCTCCGGTTCGGGGGCGGCGGGCACTGCTGGCATCGCCTGAAATGCGGGAACACCCCGCATCCTCCTTGCATTGCAGGGACTTAATGGTGAGCTGCGGGGTTCGGAGTTACTGCAGGGGGAAATTCCCTTCGCTGTTGGCGGCTGGAAAAATGATTGCGTTAACAAAAGCGTTAATGGGGTTTGGGTGGAGGGGGGGATGAAAAACAAACAAACAAACAAACCACCACCAACAAGGAATGGGGCGAAGGGGGGAATTTCCCCGCATCTGGAAACGGAGCCAGATGCATTCTTCCCTACGAAAGCCCCCAAATTCCAGCTCCGGCCTGCCCTTCTCCCGCAGACAACGAAACCTTCTCCAGGACATAGGAATCTCAATGAGCATCCCCTATTCTCTCGCTCCCTCTATCTCTTTCCCCCGAAGCTTCAAAGCCGGAGAAATCCTTCCAATTCAGCGCTCTTCCTTCGAAATTTGGAAATCTAGATAGAGCCAGCCCCGCCACCAAGCTCCCGAGGTGGCGAGTCGGAATAGAAATGGGGATTTTCCCTCTCCTCCCTGGAGGCTAATGAGGTTATGCGGGAGCCGGAGGGCACATGTTAGGGCTTTGATAAATGCACTTTAATGAGATCTTTGAAAATATTGCAGAGAGAGTCGGCGGCAGCGTCGGTTCGGCAGCGCGATGCGTGTCGGCACAAAGCGGAGATCGGAGCCCCGCAGCCTCCGGCCCCGCTATTTGTTTCTCTTATTTAATTTTTCCGCCGAACCCGAGCTGTAAGCCCAGCCCGAGGCCTCCGTTCCCGTTCAAGTCTATTCCGAGCGTTTTATTCACCGACAGAACGCCTCGTCCCCCCCGGCAAACCCCTCGGCTGCATTCGTTCCCATCTCTCTAATGATGAAACGTGTCCCAATGAGATTAAGCTTTGTCACAAATGTTCTTGCCGGCGAAGAAAAACCCAACTCGTTTCGATAACGGCGATCTGAATGCGGGAGATTTAGAGCCCTTTATGAAACGCGGCCCCGGGAGCACTTTCTTATCTGCGTGGGTTTCTCCCACGCGCGACGCAGAGGGCACACGTCGGGCCGCGGTCACAGGTGCGGGGACGCAGGGGAAGGACGGCCGGGACGGGGTCGGGGGGTCCCGAGAAGGAAAGCGTCAATAGGGAGGGACGGAGCGGTGCGGCGGGCAGAGCCGGGCCGTCCTCCGCCGCGCAGCCCGGCCCGACCCGGGCCATTCCCGGTCCTCTGGCGGACTCTGCCGTCGCCGCCGAGAAGTGTCGCCCCGCCGCCGGGCCGGGGTCTCCGCCCCGAGGTGAGCCGGGGCGGGACGGGCCCTCCGCCGTCGGGGCGATGGGAGCCGCGCTGCCGTCGGGGCGGCCTCACCTTCCAGCTTGGCGCACCCCCCCCCCCCCCCCCCCAGCACGCATCCCCGCTCCCAAACGCAGCCCTCCCCGTTCCCACAGCCGTCCCCTCCCGGCTGGCGGCCCCCGGCCCCGCGGGCTCACCTGGGCCGGCCCGTGCTAAGCGGGCGGGGGCTGAGAGCGGCGGCGGCGGCGGCTCCGCGCTTCTCGCA